TGCATTATAAGTTTTCCTGGATTTTTCTTTGCCTTAACCTTAGAAGTGACAACTGTCGATAAAATCGCTGTTGGTAGGCTACCATGCTGCTTCTGACACCTAGGGTTAACTAGAAAAAAGCAATAATTAAATTAAATTTCTGAAATCATCACATTTTCAACCAAAAAAAATTCACAACAAAAATGCTTGCAATTAGACCAGCTTTGGAGTCTTCCATGCTCATCGAGTTTCGTCCAAAGATAGCCTATATGTTTTTATTTTTTCCGTCCCCAGTTTAAATTCCAGCTGGACCAAATCTGTAAATTCGGACCATTTCCAGTTGGCAAAGAGCTGGAAAATGGTAGGTACCGGTTATTCTTTCACTGGAATTTTTCAACCGAATGCAACTGGTTTTAATAGCTGTTTCCAGCAGGTAATTTCCAGCTATAATTTTTTTTTGAGGGCCCTACGGCTGGAATACAGCTGAATTTACAACTGAAATTCAGCTGGTTCTGTTGATGGACCTCTGATAAAAATTGTCAACAAAAAGATCGCATTCAGCAAGTGATGTTGCACCTAGGAACCAATCTGGATCTGACTATCTTCCAACTGTTACCCTGTTGCAATGGGTCCGAATTTACGGCTGGACTCTAGCTGTAAATTATTGCTATTTCTAGCCGGGATTTTATGCTGGGTCGCTTCAAAATCCTGCCATGTGTACTTCAAGTTGCAAATTTAGCCATATTTGGCCAAATTTGACCCTCAATAACTTTCTTTTATTCCAACTACAGGTATCATTCTTCCAGAGAATGATAGATCTCTTCGACCTCTTTCGAGCCATTATAAAGTCTCTGTTTTATTCCCAAGACCTGGCCGTTGAGAATTTTTTTTCCTGACCATCTCGAATGAGATTTACCACCTGGATCGTGCTCTTAACTCCACCTAGATCATGTTCGGGCAGAAAAACGTATGCAGTAATACCCCACTTAGCGCTCAGGATGCGTTCCTGGAAAAGAGAGCGCTAGCTGAAGCAGCACTAAAAGGGGTCGTTATACCATTGTACAAGGGCATGTCAAATAATAAGGACTCAGCACAAAAAGGTCTCATGCATTAAAAAACAGAAGATCCAGACGCTAATACGAAGGATTAAACAGTCTTGAATCTGGCATAATTTCGTCACGGTATCCGGCAAAACTGGGGGACGGTACCGGAGCCTAATTCAACGAAAGCTAATTTCATTTTTATGGCGAAACGGAGCATCGCAAACAACAAAAAAGCCACTTTTCGTCATCTACGAGTCTACAATATCTTTCTTATGGTTGGTCTCTTTCCTTCGAAACCCCCCCCCCCCCCCCCCCCCCCCCTCCAAGAGTGGTTACCCAGAGGGGGAGAAAAAAAGTGTTCTCCACAACCCCGGGGAGATGGAGCTTCAAATTTGGTGGAGCGATTCTATGGTGAGAGAGGAAGAAGTATGCCAAATTTCGTTCCTGTTGATGCTCTCAGAGAGGAATACGAAGAGGTTAAATTTTGCTACGGGAAGGAGTTGAAGAAAGGTAATAGGCGCTACCAAAGCCTATTGATACGGGGGAATATAGCCCTAAAAAATGAAACCTAGTCTTAACGGTTCATCGAGGTCGAATGTGTTTCTAAAATGTTTCTAAAATATTGATTGATATCTCCTTTATCAAATTCCAGCAAGGCACATGCAAAAAAAACGCACAGATATTGCGCCTTTGGATCCTTTCCGTGTTGGTCCCAAGGGGCCATGTTTCTCCTATTGTTGGGGGAATGTGGCCACTTTTCAAAAAACAACCAAAGGTTTTTGAGGTACGTGTGGGAATATGCTGGAACATGCTGAGTACCTTGAAACATAAAGGAGGCTATGCTGTTGAAAAAGAAACATTAAATACATCGAGGACAAGCAAAGTGGTTGACATCATTACCCGACTCGAGCTGTTGTGAAAAGCAGGATTGTAAAGCTGTTGTCTTTGAGTAGCATTGCACGTCATTGGGAGACTGTATCTAGAGACTGGGTGTGTTAGAGGAGCGATCAACCATAGATCAAAGTGAACATTCGCTGTGTGAACTAAGAGGTCTTACGTTGCGGGAAAAATGCTGCAGTTTTTTCATGTATGCATGAATAGTGGCAAAAAAATCACAGAATGTCATTTCAACTTTTTGTACGAGGGATATACCTGCATTAAAATTTTGTGGCATGAAAATTCGTTGCGTACGTGAAACGGATGTCCAGTAGGCGGTGCATGAGGATATCCTCGTGCACCGCCTACTTGCCGAAACGCAATTTTACCATCGATGAGGTCTCACGATGCAACTTCTGTCTATTTGAAGTTTAAAGTTATTGCCGAAATGGGGAATATTTCTGCTCCGGATTCTCGCTGGAAGTCGATAACAGGCGACGCGTAAATTCTAACGAGCTGAAATCCGCGCCGTCACGTGGGTTTCAACTAGTTAGATTTCCGCATTTATTTTCTTTCCCGAAAATTTGGTCCAAAAAATGTTAACTACTTTTATTTTAAATTTATTTCCATGAATATTTCGATAACAGAATACATTGACTCCCGACCTAATATTTCTATATTTTAAGTATAATTTCTAGATTTCTGCGGGCTTGCGCAACGGAGGTGAAGGTGTATGCATGAACATTTTCACCCCTTTCGAGTTCTGCCCGACTGCGTTCGAAATGTGAGAACCTCCCCAAGTCTCGGATATTCCGATGACATCGAAACCGTCGTCCAGTGCCCTACGCCTGAGCTCGTCCATTTTATTACGTAAGCTGCGTGCATTCGCGTAGAAACACTTCATATGCTTCCCTGTCTTTCCTGCATACCAGTACGAGGCGTTCTAAAGCTGCTTGTAGTGGGTGTCCCAACCCCCCCCCCCCCCCCCCCATCTACAACCCTAAAAAAGGCTCCAGAAGAATCTTCTTTTCAGAAGAATCCCACCATCCTACGCGGCGAGATCAAGTAGTGATTTACAACCGAAGTTTCTCTTTGATCCGCCGCACGGAAGTCGCAAGTGTGGTTTTGGAAGTTGGTTGGGCTGAATAACGCGGCATCACCTCATCATTCCCTCCCCGCGCACATTTTGGGGCGGGACGAGTACCACTGGGGATTCTTCCTCCGCGATAGAAGTGAAAGTCTAAAAAATCACTTGCGAACATTCACAATAGGGCTTTTTTCACGTGACGTCACAGCTCGGGAGACACCGCCTCCGCGCCATGCTGGAGTACAGGCAGACGACGTTTGGCAAGAACGACGGTGATATTTTGCTCAACTATGATGAATTTCTCGGGTCTATCCAGGTCTGAGCAAGTACCCACACTTGCAAAGGTGGTTCTCTGAGTCTTTGAGAGTGACGGACCTGCAAAAATGATTATATATGCTGTTTCCCCAATCGGTTGTGTGGTATCCGTACAGGCCTAGATCTAAATCCATGATCAGGAAGGAAGCCCAAAACAGGTGTCCTCGTCAGAGGATTCTAGATCGGGTCGTCTCTTTAGGCCTCAAGTGAGAAGGTAAGACCTGAATTTGATGGCATGTGATGCTCTAAGCGTAGGTACGGGAGAGAGAAGTGAATATTGTAGTTGGAATTTCCTATCATATCGTGGGCTCAGTTCTGTGGAGTCTCTTCCTTCATAGGTCTTCTTTTCGAAACAACCCTTTAACGCCATGATTTTCCGTTGAAAAGATACGACATGGTGACATTGCACAGTCA